AACCGCTCTATTGTCTTACTGCTGAACGTGCTGTCACAACTAAAGGATTACAACACCTTGCTCAAAGTCTCATCTATGTTACAGAGGACCCCTGATCAGGGAAAGTATGATACATTTATTTTAATCCATTACTTCGTAAAGCTTTGAATATATTTCGTTCACTGTGTAACTCTTTTATTTAAAGACATTCTTAATTTAGGAGAAGTCTTTAGGCAGGTTTCCTCTGGAATACAGTGGAATGATGGTTAATTTTTTCTCAGGATTAAGATTCTGTAATAGCTTCTAGAATTCCTCTGCGTTTCTCTTGAAACTCGGAGCAGCCATACAGCTGCCTTAGCAGACTCGCGGAGCTTTTCTGTCACGTGGAGGAGTCACTGGTGGAGCAAAGCGCGGTGACTTCTGCACCCCTCTGATGGCCTCTTGCGTAAGAGCGATGTCCAGAGAGGGAGGTCACGGCCCAGGCATCCTGCCTTCCTGTAAGCTTGACGGACTGAACAATGGTTGTGTGCATGGTGGCAGCTGATGCTATTTACAAAGCTTATCCTATTCAGGGGTGATCTAATTTTAATTGCATTAACCTTATTTAAGAAAAAAGAAGCCATTTAACTTGAGCTATAAAAAGATTCATATCAATGGGGAGACCAAAATAAACATCTAAGGAAAATATTGAAGCAATTGAGGTAAAATTCTAATAGCTTGCTGATGGGGAAATATTGAAATCAGTCTCTGGCAAATGCTTAAGACAGTGAGCTGAATGATTGATGGCAGTAAGTTGGAGGGATTGAAGGTTTCTTAATGTGTTTTTTGAGTGTGAGTGCATGTGAGTTTGCATAGATCATGGTATGTCTGGGAATATGTCAACACATGTTCAGCAAACTTGAAGCCAAAAATACTTTGACTTTTAACATATCAGAAGTACTGGACCATAGAAGGTTTAAATTCTCTCCTAGGCAAGCCTACAGTTGTACTAAAAATGTTATGTTATTTATAAGTCTAGACTGAATTTAACAAACAAGTGATTTGAAATGTAGGATCAGGCAATGCCAGGCATGGCAAACTGCAGTTGTTACAGGAACTTATAAATGCAGATATTCTGGGTGTGTCTGGTATATGCCTGTAACAACCCTACTTTTAAAAACAGGGGGGGTTTAGCTGAACTTTAGTTATTACTGAACTGATGAGGAGCCAGGCTTTTATATCTTTTGTCTGAAAAGCAAGCGATAAAATTACCAATTTAATGTAATAGGGTAGAGGGAGAAAATACATTTATTAAAACTGTTGGCTTTTTGGCTGAAATAGTACCCTTCAAAATTGTTTATTTGCTTTTTAGCCCTCTCATTAAAACCAGCCAATTCTGAAGTAGAAATTCAGTTAGGTGGGCTTGATGGCTGGAAATGTTTTCCTTGAAAGTGCACTGAAGCATTGTGTCAAAATACACTGAAGTTGCACTGCTCTAGTAAACTCAATGAAGCTATGGAGTGAATAAGTTTCGCATACACTTTTTAAAAAATAATACTAAGTAGGAAAAAATATATTAGCACACCAGTGTTTTAGCTCTAAAAATACAGCTGATATGACCAACAAGAAAGGATTTGCTGATGTCCTTAATCTCACATGCATGGTTATCATGAGAATCACCTGACAGTCCAAGAGAGCTTTGTGTGACTATCATCTTTTTCAAGAAAATATTTGCATAAAGAGCTGGTGTTTTGGGGACACGGAAGGCCTGGTATAAGAAAACTGTAATTCTGGTTGTCTGGTTTGCTCTGGGTTTGGTTTGTTCTTTTTTTTTTTTGTTGGGTTGGGTTTTTTCATTTCTCCCCTTCCCTCTTTGTAGACAGTGCTATCTTTTGCTTCATGCCTGTTATCTTTGATTGTGGAGGGGAGAGAAACATAGCTAAAGTGGTATGTTTCAATATGCAACTGTATGTTCTGTTTGCTTTCTTCTAGCTTGTTTTAAAGCTGTTGTGTTGCGGTTTTTGTTGGTTTGGTGGTTTATTTTAATGTCCTGGTCCTTGCTTTTAAAGTTCTATAAGCTTTTGGCAGTTAGCTTAATTTCTGTCACCTTACTGTGGCACAGGAAGTACTTGCGTGATGCAGATCGCCAAGTTCTGGCCCAACAAGCCTTTGTGCTTACAGTGAAGGTGCTGGAGGACACACTCAACGATCTGACACAGGTAAGGCAGCAGTGTGTTCTGTGGCCCTTGATTTAGTTATTAGGTTTTTCTACATTCGGTTTACTCCTTCCTTAGATCTCCCTAGGTTGAAGGGCTATGTTATCATAATTTATTTCTAATACCTTTTGTTTATATGCAGCTGCACAGAAAACTTGCTTCCAGCATTGCTTTTTGTTTTTGAAAACCAGTAACAAGTACAGTTGTTGGGAGTGGATTGCAGTAAGTTTGATTTGACTGCCCTTTAAATTTCAAATTATTTTTTTAAATTATTTTTTAATTTCCTTGACAGCACCGCATCTGTTAGTTATCATAATTTATTTCTAATACCTTTTGTTTATATGCAGCTGCACAGAAAACTTGCTTCCAGCATTGCTTTTTGTTTTTGAAAACCAGTAACAAGTACAGTTGTTGGGAGTGGATTGCAGTAAGTTTGATTTGACTGCCCTTTAAATTTCAAATTATTTTAAAATTATTTTTTTATTTCTTTGATAGCACCACATCTGTTACTACATTGAATTGTAATTTAGATTTAATTTTTAAAAGTCATATAGGTACTAATCAGCCTGGTATAACTGGAAATTGGAAGGTTATTTGCTAAACGCATTCAAGGAAGAACTTGTTCCTAAGGGTTTTCCAAGCTAACAGAGTATATATTAAATGACAACATCCATAAGAACACTGGAACCCTGTTTATGAGGTAGTTTGTTCATAAATCTGGATGTAAGAATTGTATCATTAGCATTTTTTGGAAAGAAGAGATGGAGGTACTGAGGTTTTCTACCTTTGGACCATCACCAGAGTAGAGGTACAAAGATTAAACTACTACAGCAGAGTTTATAGCACACATCTTGATCTACTAACAAGAAGAGAGTTAGGTAAGAGCAACCAAAGGAAAGATTCTTAAATTTGATCTGTAACTACCAAAAGAAACAGGTTCAGTTTTGATTTCAGTATGTTAGAAGAAAATTTTGTGCTACTAGTACCTTGGATTTTGTTGAGTTGGATCCCATGGTATTAGACTGGAGCAGTGGGGAAAAAAGACACCATTGCAGCTTTGATTCAGCCTGTGCTGTTGATTTCTCTGGTGTTTCCACTGCTTAATATACTTAAATTGTAAGACTTGTAGCTTGGATTAATTAATATTCAGGAATAAACAAGAATGAACATGGAATAAATGCATTTCCTTCAGTGGAAGCAATAATGTAAAGGTCTTAATTGTCAGTGTTCTTGGTAGTCATAGCTGTGCTCAGATACTTTTTTGATTTCAGTAGTAACAGATAAGAATTCTTTTATTAAGGTTTCGGAAGATCAGAGCTCCAAGTCCACTAACCTTGCTTCAGGAAGGATGACAACAGACGTCTCTAATAAAGCTGGTGCTGAAGAGGGAAAAGATGTCCTTCCCAAAAAGCCAGTTTTATCGGATGGAGTAGTACATAGTACTGAAAATGGAGTAAAGGAAGTGACCCAGGGACAAATTCCCAATGCTATGGACATACTGGAACAGGAGAACAAGAATGACAAGGAAATTAAAGAGCTCCCTAGGCCTGGTTCAGTTGAGCCTATGGATCTTGATGGATATTCCAATGACCCTGAAAAAATTGATTCTTTGTGTAAACGCAGCGAGCCAGACCGTCTTCAGCCTGGCAGGAACTCAAAGGAGAGAGCTCCAGAGAGCCGGACTCCAGAACTTTCCCTGGAAGAGCTGAGTATCAGCTCAAAACAGCAGCAGCAGGCAGGTAAAGGCATGGTTCAGGCAGTGCCTACAGAAGAACCTGTCCAGAGGTCAAGCAGGAAGAGGAAATTACTCGAGGATGTGGAGTCTGGGAAAACACTTCTACTCGATGCTTATCGGGTATGGCAGCAAGGTCAGAAAGTTATGGCCTATGACCTGGGTAAAATTGAGAAGATCATGTCTGAAACGTACATGCTGATTAAACAGGTAAAGTATTTTATCATTAATTTTAGGTTCTCTGTGTGACCTCTCAGACATTATAGAATAACAATAATTGCCAAACCAAGCAGTATAAAGTTGGGCCTGTATCTGTTTAAAAGTTGGGGAGATAAATAGCTCCCAAAGAACCACTCTCCTAAGACCACTACTGGGGGCGGGGGAAAGTAGGACTCTCCATGTTTTGGAGCTAAATTTCTGAAGTCAGTTAAGAGCTATAATACCAGTTATGTGGGCTTTGTTCATGCTGAACGTTAGTTTGAATTGAGAGTTGTGTGTCTTTGAATCTATACTCCTGAATAACTTGAGATCACTGTTCTGCTGTAAAGTGCTGCTTTTCCCCCTTAATCGCATCCTCTACATCCCCATTTCATCTGAATTTAATTAGATTTAAAGATGAGCTAAGTAATTACAACTTAATTAGTTGTGATTCTGTGTTCAGGTGGATGAAGAAGTAGCACTTGAACAGGCAGTCAAGTTTTGCCAGGTGCATATGGGAGCATCAGCACAGAAACAGGTAAGCTGTCCCTGACTGCTTGTAACGTGCTTTTGTTACCTAGTCTGTGCAATCGAATCTGTTTGCAGCAATTAGAAATATCTGCTTTCCTTGTACTGTTGTCTGAGATAAGTGGGGCCACATTAGTGTAGGGAGCTCATCCCCTTTGTTAGGATCACTGCTACTGCTTATGTCGGGCTTGAAGGACAGTTTGTGTGCCCAAAAGCTTTTGGGGAACCCCAAACAATCTCAGAATTGAAATATTTATGGCACACTACAGTTTTCTTACTGTCCACGTCATTCCTCAGCATTTCATGGATGGTAATTACTTCTCTCTGATCACTAAGGGCTAACAACCTCATCAGCTCCTCCCTTGCTAACATTGCACTCCACTCCAGAGGTACCAAATACCTTTTCTCTCAGCTTGCGTGGTTGAGAATCTGATTTTGACTCTATTACATTACTCAGTTTGTTTTAAGCTTGTGGTTTCTGGCTTTACCCAGCAAACAGTTACAGCTTTTAAAAGGATGGTTATTTACTAGTCCTTAAGGTGAAGTCAAAGCCAAGAAGAAAACTTGATGAGTGACATGTTTCAAGGTCATTCGTTTGGCCAGCAAACCGTCAGTTGAAGGTCCCAAAGTAGTTTCTAGCGCTGTGCTTTCCACAGTTTTTGTCACCAGCACACAATGAAGCGGTTACTCAGCAGTTTTTGAACGAAAACAAAAGTGAGTTTTGAAGAAAAATCTGTATTCCTCATTAATAGTCTTATGTTTTAATACTGCTCAGGGCTTTGTGCGTGTTTTATGCTATGAAAACGCATTCTGTGTTATCGATTGCTAGCTCTCAAAAAGCAATGAAAATAGTATTTGTCAAAAAATACTTGAAAAAAATCTGTTGGAGTGCAACTTAGAAACCTTCTGTTGTCTTTGAGTGTTTCACCAGTGGTGGTCTGTATCATAATTTAGTGTATAAAACAGGAAGCATCTCTAAGGTTTTCTGTACAAAAAAGGTAGATAACGATATTAATATCTAAGAAGTATTATGGATGCAGGGAGAGAATTGCCTGCTTCTCCATCACTTGATTCTTTCCCTTTGCGTGGGTGCTAATTTTAATAAAAATGGAAGGACAGTAAAAGCCTTTCAGACTTTCTCCTCATCCTTCAAATCTGGATGAGGCTTTTCTTCTGGAAAAGCCAAGCATCTCTTCTTGTAAAACCATAAACTTTTGAGGAGGTCCATCTCTGATGTTAGCAAGTCAAATATTGTCTTAATGTGAAATGGATTTGAATACCTCTCTGAACTATTTTTCAAAATAAATATATTTCTTAAATGTTCAGATAATTCTTCTAGTTTCTGAAGCAAATCTGGTATCTATCACCAGGACACTGCCTCTGTTCTTTAGATCTTTTCAATGTAACCTCAGATAATGCACACTGCCTGCTTCTCCCTTCAGTGTGTTAATGTACGTGACAGATGCTTCCCAGAACTGAAGCACTGCTGTGTTGGAGATGCTGGTTGATGGGCAGAAGAACTTACAAGGTGAATCTGCTGTGTTACATCAAGTTAAGAGGTCTTCCTTTTAGGTTTTTCTGCTTAGTGGAGCTGAAGAAAATTGAGACTGTAGGTCAGCTCCTGTGACAAGGTTTAGTGCTGTCTGCTCTGCAACTTCGGGAGAAGCAGATATTTCTGTGTCTTTTGTGAAAGGTGCCAGATTTTTTTGCTTGTTTCTATTTAAGATATATGCCTTCCAACGGAGCTTGAACCTTCTGTTTTCATGCACTGTTCTCTTGAATCTATGGGTACTTGTTCTCCTAATCTCTTGTTGGTGAATATTTCTTTACTGGTGACTGTTGCCTTGTCCAGGAGGGTAGAGGAGGTTCAGACCCTCAGGGCAGACCCTGTTATGTAGTGTTTGTTCCAGACAAGATTAGTGACACACTAAGTTTCTTCCTGAAATGGTGTGTTAGTTATCAGGAGGCATGCCGACCCATGTTTTCTCTGTGCTGTATAGAAAGTCTGGGTCTTCAGTGTCCATAAAGGTTCCCAGTTGTTAATACTGAGATTAAAAATATCTAGCAGAGTCTCTAGTTAAAGCTTGCATTCATTCCATCTCCTAGCAGAGAGGGGATGTAAGAGTAAAGGGAGTTTTTCTTTATTACATTTTCATGGAAGTATCCCTCTCCAGTTTGTGTCCCCCAGGAAGTCAGTAACATTTTTCCATTAAACTGTAGAAATGAACAGAAATAGCAAGAGAGGTATTTTAGCATAAGTGTTTCTTTGCTCATAGTGTGGTATTTAACAGATTTTTATTTTATTTTTTTTAACAAAGAAATCAGCATGTGAAGACTTTTTTAGCTTATCTTGGGGGGAAAAAAACAGGAGTCATCACAGTGATTTATGACTCCACAGAAGAAGCTTATTAGCAAATTCTTTCTATTGAAAGTAAGGTTACTGTTTGCTTTTTGGATTTAGTCACCTTTTCAAAGACTACTCAACAAACTCGCATGTATCAGCCAAGTTCCTTGCTGGGCTTTCTTGAAGATTCTGGGTATGCGGTTGCTGTGCCAACTCTTCCAGCAAAGTCAACAGTTACTCAGGCTTGTGGCAGAATTTCAGAATAGTGAAAAATCCGCATGCAAATTGATCTGGAAAGTAGATACAACAGGTGAGCTAGTATTTAACTGTGTCTGAAGTGACAAGATTTCCTGTGAAATCATTCGAAATAAACCATACCTCGTGACGTGATGTACTTTGAAGCTTGTAGCATTCCCTTTTAGGAAGAGGTCCCAGCTAATGAGATTACCACATACTTCAGTCTCATTTTTGTCTGTTTGTAGTAGGATCTTACGAGCCGTGTGAAGCTGCCCTACTGCTGGTGTAGCACTGTGAATTAGTGTGGAGACACAGGAATAGCCACTTTCGTAGACATCTGTCTCTTTTGGAATCCTGTTTTATTTAAAATTGGCAAGTATTTGCCTTCTGTAAACAAATGATGTCATGTGTAGAGCTGCTGCAGCCCAGAGAAGGGCTTTGTTACTGGATAGCTTGAGTAGCTTGACAGAGCCTGTGGTTCTTCAGTCCCTTATCCCAGGAAACTGACAGTCAACAAAAAAACCCAAAAACGTGAACACAAACCTCACCTTGGTAAGTCTTTCTCTGCTGGCTCTTGTGTTTTGCAGTTCCAGGCAGTATATCGTTTCTTTATGAAAACTTTCACTTGCTACTGAAATCAGGAATTATTTGAATTATGGTTTTTCAACTTTCTTCCAGATCAGTCAGAGTTTTCAACCTAAATATTGAACAGCTCCATTGAAATCTTTTTCTGTGCCTCTTCAGGTGTAAGCAGGAAACAATGCAGCAGTCAGTAAACGGGATTCGACAAAGCGGGTTATTATACTTTTGTGATGAGATCTAATCTTTCTAATTGCTTGGCAATGCTGTGACCCTTTCGCTTGATTTCAGAAATCCTCTGTAGTCCTGATGACTGATGCACTGTTAACATGTGCTGAACCAATGAGACTCCAGCATCATCTTCTGGAGCCCACGAAATACGTGGGGCAGTGGCTTAGAAAGGTTGGCTCCCAGGTTTGAAGAAGGCAGAAAAAGATGGTGGTGCAAAACCTTGCCACAGGGAGTTGCTGTGCTCCTGGAGAACATTGGATTTGAAGTATTCTCTATCTAAAAATGACACATCAGTGAAGAAGTTAATGTCGATACTCTGTCGTGAGCTCTTGCGTAGGGTGGTTACATGGCCTGCTCGTGCCAGGGACAGAGGGTTGTGTTTCAGAAAGTGGTCTGCTATACATGTGGCTGCTGTTCATGGTTCAGGTGTTGCTCAAAGTCTTTACAGGATGTGAAACAGTATGATTGTGCTTAGGCTGTAGTACCCTTAACAGAAAGGCGTACCTATGTGTACTCATACAGACTTGGATAAAGCGCTGTAGCAGTAGAGCTCTAATGTGGTGACGAACCTTACCAGTTAAACAAAATCACTTGAGCATCTTATCAATTATGCATCTTCTCAGACTTAATTGGATCCAACTCTTTCAGGAGTAATCGATGTTTTTTCCATAGCAAGCACAATTTTGCTTTACCAAATCCTGCTAATGGAGGCTTTGAGTTTTTAATGTCTAATGCAGAAGCAGCTGAAGACCTGAAACAGTCATTCAAAGAGGCTACCAAAGACTTGTGAGCTTGAAAGACCTGCTGGTAAATACAATATAAATTAATCCATGTATCTCACCATATTCAGGGGTGGAGGAGCTTTACGCTTCATTAATAATTGGTGCTGTGTTTGTATGTGTCTAGGTTCAGTGTTACTGTAATATGTATTTTCTGTTAAAGAGTAACAGTGAAGTAAAATCTGAGCTTGTAACACTGTCTAATGTGAAAGTGAAATGGGGAGGAAGACTGAAATGTATGCAGTTTTTTGGTTTTAATAAGGAGAGTCCTTTATGGTGTGTGGGAACAGAGTAGCATAAACAGATGTGATTACAGTAATTTATATAAAAATAGGTTCAGTGTAAGTTGCTGGGAGATTTCTTTCAGTATTCAATGATAATGATAATATTTTTAAAGTGATATATTCATTAACTTCAGCACACTTTGATTCCAAATGTAAAGAGGGGTGATGTAACATTCTAAAACACTGATGTTACTGCTGGTTTTTATCTGTCTTATCATATCCTCAGAGTTAAGAGGACAATATTATCTGATCGGTTTTCAGTTACAGAAGATTGCTGAGCAAACGCTTGGAAAATAAATACCATTTTATCTGTTGCAACTGTATAATCATCAGCCCTTCAGAGAATTTTGTTTTGCTGCTTGTTGCACTTTAACTGCTCTTGCAGAAGTCACTGAGTTGATCGTTTGACTAAACTAACGTATGCTGAGGATATCCAGAATTAAAATTTCTTCCAAAATATTCACATTTTCTAGTATTGCCTATTGACCCTTTAGCCTGGTGTACTGCTTTTGAAAGCAAGAGACTGAAGTTCCAGAAACTACTTACCTTTAGTTCA